TGGATACAAGGGCTCCCTTGGAGAACAGAAGCCTCTATGGAAGGATATCACCTTCCCTGATGGTGCATTAGCTCAAGTCTTTTGAAAGATGTGTGGAAATAGAGATATGATTGATCAGGCCTTGATATAATGACATTTGCTAAATATCGGGGATACAGGGAAGAAACAAGAAAAGCACTGCAGCTGATTAATCACCGATTGAAAGTGAAGGGCGCCATCAGACAGCTTCCTTGGCAGCCTAAGGGATCCAGTTGCTTACAACTGAAGGGCTTGGGGCAGGGCTTTTGATTTTGAGGCAGAGTCTTTGTAAACCATGGCAGTCTTGGCACTTGCTATGTAGATCAGGCTGGCCTTGAACTGAGAGATCCACCTGCCTCTACCTCACAAGTACTGAGATTAAAGATTCGTGAACCATCCACAGCCAGGCCACATCTTTATAATGGTCGGAAGTGACAGAAATGAGATTGTTAGGAGCCTACCACAACAGAGGCTAGATACTTACTGTTTTAAGTGTTTGGGTGTTCGGCCTGTATGTTTGACTGCACCACTCTCATGCAGTGCCCACGAGGCCAGAAGAGGATATCAGATCCCTTGGAACTGGGGCTACAGATGGTTGTGAGCTGCCATGTGAGCCCTGAGGTTGTAACCAGAGTCCTCTGGCACAGAAGTCAGTACTCTTAACTGCTGCACCATCCCTCTCACGCTTGTATAGCTTTTCTTAATAGTCAGAAACTGGGACGTGTAATTATTAAAATGAAAGGAAATCTCATTGTAGAGGCAGGAAAAGGTCATTAGCTATAGAGAAACAGACAGTCAATAGAACCATCTATTAGAGCAGGATACGTATGGTCTGACAAGGGTCTGACTCAGTTTATACACTAAATAACAGGGGCGAATGATCACAGGAACAACCGTTCCCTTAAAAGCCGTAACACATTTTTCGATTTCCACCCTCAGCCAGATTTCATGCTCAGAATCCATGGACTGAAGGCAAAGCTGGGTCTCAGGAAGAAAGCTCAGAAAGCTGTCTGTTCCGATCTTTCCCCCAAAGGAGTCTTCAGCCATTTACTTGTGCAAGGAAACGTGCTAGACATTTATATTATTGCTGCACACTGGATTCAGGTTGTAGCCAGGAGCCAGTGTGACCCCATAGTCTTCCCCTTTAAAAGTGAAATAATATATTGTCCTGGTTCAGGACCATTTTGGTTCATAGTGGTTTGTGGGTCCATGAAGCCACCCAGTGATCATCCGGCATGACTGCGAATACAGAATTTGAATGGATGGGCCTTGGCCATAAAGAATCATTATAGAGGGGCAGGCCAGGTGAAGCCCATGAAACTGCCTTCCTCTCTGTAGGCACAAGAGTAAATTGTGATACTTAACCTAGTAAGAATGTCAATTTATTGTATGGTTTTTGGAGTTGACAATAAAATGTAGCACCTTGTACGTGCTCTCTCACTGAGCTATCCTAGCCGGCCCCAAGGATGGTATATTTTAGTGTGTTGCTTAAAGATGTAAAGAAGGGAAGCAGGAAATGTCATCTCCAACATATTCCCACGTAATGGATGTTTTGGCCTTAAAAATTTTAGAATCCTGTGTGTCGATAGGGGACTTTCGAAACTTGTAGAACTATATTTATTTATGTGTGTGGGAAGTACGTGTGCATGGACATATCACAACATGGCGTGCACATGCTACGACACGTAACAACTTTGTGGAGTCGGTTCTCTGTTTCTGTCAGGTGGATATCAGGATGGAACTCAGGTTACCGGTCTTAGACCATTGCACTGGGACAGGACTTCCATAGCTTTGACCCAAAATTAGCCTGGGTGAATGAAGTCTCTGCCAGGTGTGGGATCTTGGGTAGGGCACAATGACATGGTTCACTTGCAAAGAGAATGGCCACCGACTATACACTTTTCCATCTCTATTAGAGCAAAACAGTTCACATGAAGGAGGGGCAGGTAACAGCATCCAGGAAGGCTTTCCTCAGGGCCAATGTTTAGCTTTCCCACTCTGCTCTGAAAGAGCTGATACTGCATAGAGCCTCTGCAGAATCATACCGGCGCACCGCATCCAGGACAAGAAGATAACCACAGACGGGCAAGAAGCAGTAGGTATACAGGAGGCTACAGTAAGAAACATGCACCCCTCCCCCAAGAGCAGAAAGGGAGCCAGGCAGGGCCAGACATCTGTCTATCAGTAGAGCAGAGGCCTCAGACACTTTGGGCTGGAGTACTATACCATGCTGTGTGCTGCTTCCTATGACAAGAATGAATGACAAAGTTAAATGTGGTGACACAGGCTTCTGCAATCCTAGCTCCTCAGGAGGTTGAGGCAGAAGGGGTGGATTACAAAGTCAAGCTCTGCCTGGGCTAGAGTAAGTTCAAGGGCAGCCTGTCCTGAAGTTTTAAAAAGAAGAGCCTTGGGCTGGGGATGTGGCTCAGCAGTAGAGGAAGGGCATGGTTCAGTGTCCAGGGGGAGTCCTCTAGGGACTAGGGTTGCCCATGCAGAATCAACACTTCAGTAGCAAGACTAAGCCTGGAGGAGCTGACAACGCATGCCCAGAGCAAACCTCAGACCTGCTATGTAGGGACTATGGAGTGCTTCTCTCTCCCTAGTAGTGTAGTGTCCATCCCTTTGCCTGTCCTACCTCTTTCTCTTAGGTATTCACGGATACAGAGAAAGTGTTTAAGACTTGTACCTAGGACCACTGAGGACGAGCCACATCTGCATGAGCCTGAGATGATTCAGTCTTTGGACCTACAGTCTGAACCAGATGTGGAGATTGGATGAGACCCCAGGGGCAGAACAACAGTGAGTGTCACATGTCACAATGTGCGGTGATTGATATTACATCACTTTACCTGGCCAGAAGATGCCTAGCTGGCTGCTAAAGCATGTCTGGGTGGATCTGAATGTTTCACACAGACATCAGAATCGGGCAACCGAGCAGAACAGACTGTCTTCAGAATGTGGATGGGTACCCTCTGATCAGTGGAAGCCCTGTAACAACAGGGTGAATGAATTGACTTTCTTCTTTCTTCTGTCACTGGCACATCACAGGCCTGGAGCTTCCCGTAAGACTAACCACATCTTTGGGGAGTTGTGTTTGAGTTCAGAAGTTTCCAGGACTAAGGATGCTCTGGGAGAGACACTGCAAGTTTTTAAAGCCTTGGATCTTCGTGAAAGGGAGGTCCAGGGCTAAGCCTAAGCTACGTCATCATTGAGAGCTAATGGGAAGGTCAGGAATGGAGTGCTACAGAAGCTGGGGGTGGTGATTAGTAAGGCGGAGGGCCATTGGGAGCTGGAGAGGTCTTTAGTTGGTCTAAGCAACCTGACACTGGGAAGTCATTGGTGACCCATCAAAACCAATGCCAGGGTAGAACAGGGTGTAAAAACCAGGGAGCAGGCTGCAGGGCAGCAAGGAGTTAAGAGCAGAGGGCACTGTTTGGTGTGGTGTGGCTTTGGAGGACAGTGAACACTGTTTCACTCTCAGACTGAAGGACACAGAGGCAGATTTCCCTAGTGGGAAGGAGGGGGTCTTTTGCTGGGGTGCTTGGCAGAATGAGTGAGGGAGAGGAGGAGTGAGCGAGCAAGCCCCAGTGTCCCAGGTAGTCAGTCTGAAAGATCAACCAGATCCCCAACAGTCCTCACTTCTTTTTTGAAGTTCCTGTAGCTTGTGCATTTCCTGTTGTGTGGTCTCTAGGCTGGTCTGCACAGCAGGACTGTGGAACCCCAGGAGGCCTTCTGGTCTTCTGTGTTCTGGACTGTTCTACTAAATACTCACCAATGGGTAACCATGACAGTTTCACCCAACAAACCAGATAACACTGAGGTTACCCTACCCAGTGTTTAAATAATCATCACATTTTGGCCTCCCTCCTCCATCAGAAGGCTCTGAGGAAGGAGAAAGCTTCCTCAAGTGCTAGGAGCAGGAGAGAGATGGTCCTGTGTGTGAACACTAACTGCGGATTTCCAGGAGCAGAGGTGTAAAAACAACAACAACAACAAAAACAAACAAACAAACAAACAAACAAACAAACTGGTTGGTCCCTGAACTCTTGCAGAAGTAAGTTCAATCTACTACAGGTCAAAAAGCTTTAAGAGGTAGGGACTTGGTCTGACTGTGCTGTTCTGGTGGTTAGGAGGTGATCAGGATTAGATAAGGTCATGGGGCAAAGCGGCCCTCCCTCTATCTTGGCAGCTTCAGAAGAGGGAACAAGACCAGGGGAAACACACAAGTGCACTTTGTGTTTCAGCAGGTGATGCTCTGTGCTCCCTTGAGACTCGGCCAGCAGCAAAGCCAGTATTGTATGTAACCTCTTCACCTCGGAACCTCCGAGCCCTGGGCCAACCTAAAGCTTTCTTTATAAAGTTACCTGCCTCAGGCATTTACAATGGCAATGAAAATTGGATTGGTAGACGTGACCATGGGGGACTTTGAAAGTTCTTCTGGTAAACAAATTGTCTTTATTTGGTGCAAATTTTGGATACTTTTCCAACCTTACTGCTCTTTCTCTCCACTGAGAGGGAACATCCCTCTCTTACTACAGCTGTGACAGCCTTGCTCCAAGCAGGCCCAGATGGGCTCCATGTGGCAGTCCCAGTCATAAAGACACAGTATGGCGCCATGTCCCTGCCCTCAGGTTGTTAGGGAAGTGAGCATGTATGGTGTGGCCAGGCTTTGTGCTCTAGGGTTGCCTACAGTACTGTCATCCAGCAGCCTAGTGAGGGAGTTGTTCCTCATTGGGACTGCCAGACCTTGGCATCCCTAGGCAGGGAAAAGGCCAGGGACTGAAGAATTTATCAGCATTCCCTTGGGGAGACTCAGGCCTCTGGCAGCACTGCATTTACTAGTGATCTCTAGACAGTGGCCACAGTTCCCCACAACCATGTTTCAGAAGCACCAGGCTACTGCTGCAGCAGGGAAGGACACCACCCCCTCCATCAGCCCCTGAGGACTGGCTCTTGTCTTCTATCCAGAGATCTTAACACTGTTATGGAAAAACATTTTATTACACATGTTCAACTTGCTCCCAACGAAATGATGAGTTTTTCACGGCTAATGGCAACCGATGTTTGTCGTCCACTCTTCTGTGTTCTTTCATAATCAGCACCCCAAAGTAAAACAACACAAAACAGAACCCACAGATACAGTACTGAGTGTAAGTTAACTAGTGGGAACTATATACATTTGACTTTAAAATGGCAGAAGAGCAGAGGTTAGAGGTCGCCACCACAGCTCCTTTTCTGGGTTTTAATCAAGCCACAGACAATGGCGAGTGGTTTGTCTTGCACCAGTGTGAATAGCACCATAAGACAGAGAGACCCTAGGGACACATCTGTGGGACCACGAGGGTACAGTATTTGAGCGACAGTGTGGGTTTAACACAGGGGCACCACCCTTGTGACCCCAGAGCTTTGATGGTAGAATGACATCATGGTGTTCAAAGTGAACATGCCAGGGTTTGCTCAGAAGGTGCATGCGTGAGAGGCTTAACGTTTGTGGTGTGGGGCTCCTTCAGGTGATAGATGGCTAGGGGCAGGCATCAGAGGCACCAGGGACAGGGCACACCTATGGGGGCTTGCTCTGCCTCAGTTTGCCTCTGCAGAGCCACAAGAAAGATTGCATGGCCTCCTGAGTGGGCTATGCTAGTGCTCTCATTGGTCTCTGGCTCCATAATACGAATATCTTTGGGTAAACTAACGGAATCTGTTGGACGGAGGGAAAATTGACAGCACCTTCCCCTCTGCCTTTGAAGCTCCCTGGAATTTGTGGGTTTTCGAAACAGCCTGGGGAGTGTGCTGGTGACCAGGCCTGAGCTGGGGGGGGGGGCAGTGTTTAGCACAGCACTGGGGTAACAACCAGTAGGCTACTTCATTCTGACACTCCCAGAGCACCTAAGGAGTCTTCTCAACACTCCTTTCTCAGTTCAAGTGGAACGAAACAAATTCCCTGCCACCTTGACCACGTCTGTGTGATGGGCTAGAAAAAATTAAAACAGAACAAAACCCAAAACAAAAATAGAAACAGCACCAGTAACAAATCAAGAAGTACTCGGAGATGATCCCATGGAAACTGGCCCAAGGGAGCACTTCCATCTGACACCAGGAGAAGATGGGCCTCTCAAGGTAGTTCATAAGCACCCATGAAAACCCTCCAAGAGGCGGAGCAAAGCCAGCCTCCTGTGCAGCTGTGAGTCGACCAGCTGGTCTGCTCTTGGAGAGGTCAGCCTGGCACTTCTCTGGCCTTCTGGAGATGGGAAAGTTCTGTGGTGAGGGTGACGGCCTGGGGAGGGAAGAGCGGACCTTCTCCATCTTTCCATGCCATGAATAAGGAAGGTGCTAACCGTGACGCACTGGGTAGAAGAAGCCTTGACGGATGCTTCGGCCACGGGCTGTTCCTCCACAAGTCCTGGCACATCTTCTTCGAGTCCAACCCTTATGCTGCAGAACCCAGGACTGATGTGTATCCCCAGGTGTCTCAAACGTCATCTTAACTTAGAGGAAAGGCCAATGCCAATGGAAAGCTACGTTGCCAAGCTGTAGCATGTATATACGGTACAAAGCCTTATGGAGTGCAGGCCAGAGTGGATGTGCTTGGGGGCGAACTGAGAGCCAGCCACCCCTGAGGAAGATGAGGACACCTTTATGTCAGGAAGCAACCCCTGGACCATGCATGCCTGTCCCATTTCCTAGCACCTTGAAGAGAGGCTCCCCTATCCCCCTGTGGGATATACAGCTGAGCTCTGAATAGCAGATACCTTCCCAAATCCAGCTCTTCGGGAATGTTCTCCCACGCAGGTGGTGTGCAGAGCTGTGTGACACTGGCTTTCTTATTGGTCTATTCAGATTTAAATTCTCGGGGGCAAGATTTCTAAGGCAATTTCTAAGGATTTTGAGACGTTATGTTTTTGAGATGGGCAGAGACCGAGTCTTGGTTCTTGGGTTCGTAGGAAGGCAGCTCATCCCTCTTCCAGAGAAGCTATTAGCAGAGGCTGGTTGGTCAGGGCACTGCTGACTTTCAGGACACAGCCTCTTCTAATGTGGTATCTCATTTCCATAAAGCTACATCAAGCCGGAGGAATTCAAATGTCAACAGGAAGCCAGAACAGAAGCAACAAATGCTCTCTCTCTCTCTCTCTCTCTCTCTCTCTCTCTCTCTCTCTCTCTCTCTCTCTTGTGTTCTCGTGTGTGTGTGTGTGTGTGTGTGTGTGTGTGTGTGTGTATAATTTTTATCTGCCAGAGGTGGTTCCTGTTTGAGGTACATAGGAGCTTGGAAATTAGAATTCTTTTATGACTCATGTAGTTTTTCCTTAGAAAGCCATCCAGTGGCTGTTAACAGTATGTTATGTTCAAAGGACTAGTGGCAATGTCAAGTCCACTCTCTAGCTCTAGGCACCTGGATTCTTGAGATGGCCTTATTGTGGGAGCAGAGGAGAGCTTTGGGGGGTCCTGGCTGCAGGGCTGGTGTGCTTTTTGGGTAGGGTGAGGGCTCTCCACTCACTAACTGCCACGCCTCAGACCTTGAGTCAGAGCATTGAGCAAGCACTATGCTGGCTGTCCGTCATGAGCTTGGTGGAGAGGGTGGCTGGCGCATCTTATTTTCGTAGAAGTCCCTACAGGTCTGGCAGCAGCGCTGGTACCATCGCATATCCTGGCAGAGGTCCTTCTCTCGGATGACCCGGCAGTACACTGTCCACTGGTCCCGGGTGCATTTGTAGGTCAGAGCAGCTAAGGGGAGAGTGGAAAGAACACCATGGTTAAAGTCATGGCTAAATACACAGAAGTGACCCATAGGTCTCCCTGACCTTCAAATACACGTTAGCCTTGTTAGCCTTGCATAAACTTATGGACCTCGAGGACTATATGAAAGGTACTTTTCTCCTATGGATTTATCTCTGTAGCCAACCCAGTCCCCCGACTGAGATACTCTTGCTGCCTTTTCAGAATAAGAGACACTAGACAACTTGGTCCCGAGCCTGGAGGAGCTGCTCTGTGATGGACACTACAGCTTCTGTTGACATTTACATGGTGACGTGGAACAGAGGACATTTTAAAAAAGGATCTGCAAAAGTGTCGAATTGAAGGATAAATATGTGGCTCACATTTCCTTCAGGGTCTTAGTCCTTTAGAGAGAACGTCCTGCACATAGGAGGCCCCTGAAAAGATACCAAGCAGACTCATGCTGGCAACAGACATGAGTGTCACCTCTATGAGCCCAGCAGCTCCCCCAGTTCAGATGGAAGCTGCTTAGGGCCCGTCCTGGCAGGTAAGTAGCTCCCAGAAGTGTGGTGGTAAATGTTAATTTAACAGAAGATTGGTTCACTTAGGACACAAGCCACTCGGCATGTCCTTCAGGAATTATCTAGAATGGGTTAACTGAGGTTGGAAGAGTCATCCTGAATGTGGGTTGTACCATTCCATGCCTGGGGGCCTGACGTGAATAAAAAGAAGAAAGCAAGCTGAGAACCTGCGTGCATCTCTCTCTGCTTCCTGACTGTGGACACAGCATGACCATCGATCTCACTGTCCGTCCACCATGACTTCCCCATGACATGGAGGGTACCCTTAAAGCATAGCCAGAGCAACCCCTTCCTTAGGTTTCTTTGGACAGGTATTTGTCAGTACATTAGATGTTCCTTGGTTTATCCCAATCACTGGCTAGACTGTAGTAGATACATAAGCAGTCTTGTTCTGAGCACCAACAGTCAAACTGCTTACAAAGAAACGTAACCTTTCCACCCTGCCTGTGTGCAGACCCATCATGGCAAAGAGAAGCCCATCAGACATCCTAGAGGATCTTTCTACCAAGAAGCATGGCTCTTCACCCACCTCACACATTGGTGCAGGATTAAGGATATCACCTGTGTTGGCAGAAGGGTGAGGGGGATGGTCAAACACCTCTGAACCTTCTTCAGCCCCAGCAAATGTCAGCCCATTTAGCTTGCTCAAAGGAGATGACTTTCTGGCTTACCACAAGGGGAACAGTTGCATCCAGAAACCAGGGTCAGGGGAGGTACTCACCAAGGCGCGGGGAGGTGATGGTGTTCACATTGATCTTCTCATTGCAGACTTCCTGGTGGCACTGTCTGTAGGCTGCTGGCTTTGAGAGAGTCGGGCACTCACTGCCATGGCGTCCAGTGACTTTGTGCATGCATTGTACCACTCTCGATTGGAGCCCCTTCCCGCAGGTGGATGAGCACTGCCAGAGACAGGGACAGCCTGAACTGAGGATCTATGACATGATCCTCCCATACAGCTGCTCCTGGGCATGTCATTCCCAAGGGACCGCAATAGCTGAATATCAAGGATGCTCACTACCTACTGGAAGAACCCTTCAGGATGGCAGGAGATAGCCTCAAAGCACGTACTGAATCCCTAACCCCTCAGTGCCTGAGATAGGTAGTTGAGGCTTTGGTTAATCTAGATTGCCAACTTGATGGGATTTAGAATCACCATGGAAACACATCTTTGGGCATCTCTTGGAGGCAATCATGTCTAGGTTGGGCTGAGGTGAAGAGCCACCCTCTGTGTGAGTGGTGCCATGTGTGGGCTGAGGTCCTGGACCGAATGTGCTGAGCACTGGCAATCATTGCTTCCTGTTTCCTGACTGTGGGCACGGTGTGACCAGCTACCTTTACTCCTCTCATTGACTTCCCCACCTGAAACCTGAAATATGACATTACTTTGGTCAGATCTTTTGTCCCAGCGATATCACTGACACAGAAGTGGTTAGGAAAGGGCACCTGGGATGAGATTAGTGTTTTTATAAGACACAAAGACCATCAAGTGAGGATGCCAAGATTATTCTCTGCAAACCAGGGGATATCAGCCCCATGTTTTGGTGACACTGTCGTAAACACAACTGGTCTACAGGTCTTTAAAAACACAGCACAGAACTATGAGCAAGACGAGGTATTTGATAATGATAAACAGTGTCCCTGGCTGTACCTACCACATACAACATTTAGAGTACCACAATCCTAGAAAAGTCTTAGTTGTCAATATCTTGTGTTTGCAGCATTTTGTGGCTGCAAGGGGAGTCCATGTACAGTGCTCCTGGATCTCGAGGTTTATAGACACGCCCTCCATGTTATACAAGGACCTATTTCCCTAACCTTGTTTTTCTGGGTCCCTTCCATGTTTAGTGGCACATGACTGTATTTCCCAAGGTAGTTTGGGCCTCTCCCCAAGCCTGGCTCCTTGGTTCTTACTCTTTCCAGGACCCTTGGAAACCATTTCTCCTCTAAGTTGGTTTCCTCCCAAGTAAAGAACCACATCCACATGCATACCTTGTTCATCTGGTGTCCCCAGAGCCCTTCACTTCTCTGATTTATGGGGTACTGAGAACACTCTGCAAAACTTTAATATGGCCCAGGCTGCATAGCCGCCCAGCTGGAGTTAATAACGGCGCCCAGGGTAGGAGAAGAAAGGAACTCTCTTAGACTTCCGAGTGTACAGAGAAAGCCAGGTGCTGTCCTGCTCAGTGTTTCCCAGCGTCCCCCTGGAGTAGAAGGAGGGCCTTCTTTGGAGGTTATGGGAGTCACAGGCTTATGGAGGCATTGGTGATACCATTTTGCCCAGGTGGGCTTTGGTAGCTCCTGTTCAGAGAGACTTCTGGGAGTGGGGGCTTTGCCTTCCTGTCTAACAAGCAGGGTCATGCTGGTGTTTTCACTTTCAAGTGTAAACATTCAAGGGAATGCTGCTTGGAAAGATCACCAGTCTTCAAATCACAGAACATGTGGTAAAGTACAGGCAGCTCTCCACTGGGCTGCCACAGCATGTTCAAACCAGCTCAGACTCTCTCCCTGACATGCAAGGCTGGCCCTACTTCTGGCTTTATGCCCAGTTCTGTATCCCAGACACACCCACCAGAGGTTTCTTGTGGCCTGGAGAATTCATCCCACATCACCAATGCAGATTTCTAGGTGCTAGCCTTAACCTCAGGAGTACCAGGGTTCATGGATGTCTGAGGGGTGCTGAGGTCATATAAGGAGGTTCCCACTAACAGGAAGCTCTTGAACATGGGGCAGGAGCTAGAGCAATGTATTTTTTAAGGGTATCTTGCATGAAGCTAGGATTGGCAGTAAGCTTGGAAAAAAAATCCTGATGTCCTGACCACTGCAAAAAATGTATCAGGGGAGACCATGGAAATTATCTTTTTAATTTTAAGTGCTTCAGGTGGATGTAGTGGGTATCTGGAACTGTGAGCCCCCAACTTAACCCAAGTTTCTGTGCCCTATAGAAAAGGTAAAGACCTCTTCCTATGAGGCCATCATGTGTTTATATCCAGCTAAGCATAATTAAGCTAGAAGGAGAGCCAGCTGCAGCTTGCACTGCTGAATTTATGTATAGCTGATAGGTGTGCCCAGAGAGGCCATGGCAGCCTCCCATCAAAATAACACTTAATGTTTTTGTAAGAACAAAACTGCTCCAAGTTCAGGAGCAGCAAGGAGGCATGCCTTCCAATATTTTGTAGCCAAAGTACTATTTGGGAAAACGCCACTCATCTGTGTAACCTCCACCAAGGTGCATTATGGGTCTTATGATGATGGCACAGGGGTTCAAAAAAGAACATGGCAAAACATTTGGCATCTACTCCTAGAAACAGGATTCATACATGCAAAGAAGAGAGATGGCCTGAAACATATAGAGATCACTTAGCAAAGTAATCATCCCTGTAGAGTCCATTTGAATAAAGTTAGTGGCACTGTCAGAGCAGTCAACTCACAGCAGAGCAAAGCCACACCATCTGGTACAACGCCATGCCTGTGCAATGTCACACTAATTTGGAGCCATCCCATCAGGTGATGAATCAATCCATCACAGAGCAAAGCTGGGCCAGCACGTGCAAATGTTCATGGTGTGTGTCAGAGTGTCCTGAGGGAGCATCCCATTCAAAATGTGGTCTCTCAGCAAAGTTAGCCAGCAATGACTGTGCGTGCCCTGACACATATGCCACAGGTGTCTCAGGGGAGATGGTGGCGCACACAATGCAGATATCCCATTGTAGGGCACATGATTGCTATCTGATTCAGTGGCGAGTTCGTAAGGCCCAGTTTAAAAATTTTAGGGAAAGAAAATAGCTTGTGTCTAAACTCAGATGCCTAGTACACAAGTTTAAATAAATTAAGGTCCAGTAAGATGGCTCAGGAGGTGAAGTTGCTTGTTGCTAAGAACCCAAGTTTGTTCTCTATGACCTACATCTCGAAGGAGAGAACTCACCTCCCCAAGTTTCCTCTGACCTCCACATGTATGCTATGGTATGTGTGCCTGAGAGAGCACACGTGAACACATGTATGTATGCACACACATAGTCATGAGACTTGTTCATAAGACATTATTACCATAATGGATATTCAGATAAAACTGGTCACATAATTATGAAAACACTCTGCTCCTGGCCAAAGCAGAATTGTGACTGCTGTACCGTCAATCTGATTTTTGTGATGAGTTGATGTAGATAAGCCTGCTCTTGGAAAAGAGGGACACGTGTACTAACCACAACAACGTGAGCACGCCTTTCTCCCCAGATCATGACTTGGACCACTCATATGCACCCACAGGCACGCTGAAGGTTTTGGTTTCATTAAGAACAGCTCAGAGAAATGGCTGGCACCTATGCCATTGCCAGTGTGCAGGTACATTTGACAAGGAAATTCTGAGGCTGATGCAGGCCCCTGAGCTTGACAGTGGAAAGGGTCTTTCTAAGGTCAGCTGCCTCATTCCTCAGGCTATCCTACCCTATGAATTAGAGGCTGTACCGGATGGAGATCTGATGGGTGGCCAGGGATCACAGTTCCAATGCTTAGCATTTTTCTTAGCACATTTGATGGCTTTCAGTTTCCCAGCCTATAAAAAGACTCAAGAGCTCCAGGAAGCCTGAGGTGGATGATGTCTCTGAAGTTCTTGAACAGGGACATCTGTTCCTACGAGGCAGGCATGAGCCAGGGTCTGCTGTGGTGGAGGTCCTGCAAACCCTGCCCCAGGAAAGAATTTTACTTGAGTTTTGCCAGATTTTACCAGGAGTCCTGGAGGGCTCTGCTCCTACAGCCAATGGTGATCGAGGGCTGTCACCTGCCTCAGATCACCTGGGAAAACTTTTGTGAACATTGAGACTTTGTCTGCCTTCTTGTATTCAAGAGGGAGAGGATACAATCACCTCACTTTTGACCACAGGAGTGTGTTCTGATATGCAGGTTTGGAAGACAGAGCATTAAGGATTTTATTGAGAAAGTCCTAAACTGTTTCCGGTGTTAACTTTTTTTTTTTTTCAGGTATTCTGTACTAAAGACTTTCCCAGGAAATAGATAAGAATGGAGAATTCTCATTTGATGACCTTCTACACTGACTGTATTTTGATTTGAGCCTGCCCCTACCCTAAGAGCCACACAGCTTCTCTCTCTGCAGGAAGTCTGTTAGGCAGGTGTTTATATCAGGGAGTGGCTGGTGGGGAACGGGCCTGCCGGAACCCTGCAGGAGGCAGCGATAACATTAGATCTGCTGTTATTCTTAGCTGCAAAAGCAGGACCAAGGATAAAGCTGCTGGCCGGGAGGCTGCAGCAGGTACACCTGGAGGCGGCCATCTTCCTTGGTGCCTTTGAGCTGTAGCTGTCAGTAGGATCTAGCTCCTGGTTGATCGTCAGCCAGATATCCAGGAGCACAAATAGGGGCCACTCTGGCAGAGAAGGAGCTGTTTTTGCATGGCACCTTTCTGGGACCCCAGGCTCAAGTTACAGAGAACAGAGACCTGCTGTGAATTCCATTCTTGTGACCTCCCCTGAGGCCCTAGACTTAATTAAACACGGAAGAGATGACAGGCAGTCCTGATAGCATCGGGTTCTCCCCCAAGCCTTGCTCTGAGAGCTGTTTTTTTCCAGGCTTTTACAATCTAAGCAAACACATCTATAAAAACAGATCTGGTCTTGTTTGAAGCTCTCTCCAGGCTGCCCCGACCCCCCTTTTAAAGTGGCTCATTTCATCAGCATTTAATGTGGCTCCCCGAGACTCAACCAGACAGAAGTAAACCAGCCATAAATCCAGGAAGGAAAGCTCATCCTCAGGCCCGTGAAGGACAGTTCTCTTCCTGTTCCTTCTATAACAAACGTCTATAAAACACATTGTCTGCTGCCTGGTGACCACACTGTCAGCCAGGGCAAGAAGGGCTGGAATCAAAGACACCGGCAGAGGTACCATGGTGGG